ACCCCCAAAAACTGAAAAAGAACTAGGAATGGCTCTGTTGATGCTTGCTATTTTCCTCACATAAGAATACACTTCTTCGAAAAAAGAACCCACCTAACTTGTCTATAACCTTAAATAAAAAAGACCCACGGTTGCGGCCCCTTATCCCCATCTCACCTGACTCAACATGTAACGTTGTGGGCCCATGTATGATTACCCCCCTTCCCGGTAAATACAACAACTCGGAAATCACCTTAACATGCATTAATTAGGCAGTCTTGTGGGTGCAGACCTGTAGATAGGCACAGAATTGCCTACGCAGGGTTAATCACAATTTCTTTGCTATAAGACCATTTTGTGGACCATGAACTCGGACAAAGATGGGTGAAAGTGCTGCCGTGCACGCGAGTGCGCGCTCGTAAACTGTGAAATTCGTATGAAATTATTATTTGTTTAAACTAAAAATGTACAATGGGAGTAGTTATAGGCCTTTATAACACACCTCTTGCTTGTTCTTTATCCTGGTTGGCTGAAACGCGGTCACTGTGATTCACTAATAGGTTCGTGTATGAAACTTGCGTCAGCGAGTAGGCGCGCGTCGAGACATCGCGCGGGCGTAATTTCCAGAGTTTAGTACCTGATCGGGCATTTTTGACTGTTAACAGCGCCCTCTGACAAAACTCAAACTCAAAAATTTAATCTAGGGAAACTAAAAGCGTTCCATTAATTGTTGAATTGCTTACAGTTGAATTGCTTTTGAGTTAATTATTGATTAACAATTTCAATAATTAAACTCTGAAATGTTTCTTTTTTTATTTTATATTTTGGACAGAGGTGAGTTATAAAACACATAAGGACTGGCATAATTCGGTCCCTAGTGCACGTCTATGCCCCCCCCCCCCCTCGGGCCTGTTTGTGAGCAGTAGAAGCTCCTATTTCCCGAGGCCGAAATAGGACCCTCTTTTGCATTCTCTGGTCACTCACAGTCCCCTGGGGGGGGGGGGGGCATAGATGGGAGCTAGTGACCTCATTGCCAGTCTATATGTGTATAATATACCATTTGACCTGTGACGTCATGCCAACAGGCAACCGCTGGGCAACCCAAACCGTTAAGTATCTTTTTGCATGTTTTTGGCCAAACATTAAACAGCTTGGCGAAAATCGAGGGATCTCCTAAGTTTAATGTTTTCTATAACTGTTTATATATTTCGACTTTAATGTACACGTATTTAATGTTTAATTTTCTCGCACCACGGGTTTACATTGTTACATCTTTAGGTTAACGACAGATATCAGATACTATGAACATGAAGCAACTAGAGTGAAACCAATAACAAAAGAACATGTGAATGTCAAACAAAAACAATTAAACCTCGCATCTTAAATTCGTATCCCATTATTTTGAATACAGAAAGTGCTAAATAGAATGCGCAGAGATGAAAACAAAAATATGATTCTTTCGTAAATAACCATAAACCAAACCGACAACTAAATTGAATGGCCATTTAAACCGAATGACATAATTCAACTTAGGATGTGTTAAACATGAACATGTGTGGTCTAACAACGAATTTGAACGTCTGAAAACTAATACGAACCTCGGGAATGACAGCATGGAACTAATTTGCTTCTAATCGGCCACTATCGCGATGAATATGAATGTTATTTTTGCGAAATATTAACGATTTCAAAGATGGCCACTGAATGCAACTGGTCTATGGGGTCTAACGTCCTAGCCATCCCTGTACATACTAGATGTTCAAAGCAAACATTTTGACAAAAAACGGTTCCTATACTCAAAGCTGTCTTTCCCCAGCTTTCGATGAATATGTATTTATTTTCTTTCAGTTTGTAAATTAAGAACTTCATGGAACAGTTTGTCTCTTTAATCAGGTTTACCTTCACACACATACAATTATAAAGGTCGAGCGAATATAGTTTATGACCAGTTAATTAACAGATCGGGTGGGAAAACCGACGACTAGGACGTGGTTGTGAAATGATTTTGTGAAATAATTTTGTGAATTTTGTGAATTTTGTGAAACCCTAACCGCCTATTTATAAAGCTACAAAATACCACTGAGTAGTCACCTGTAGGGTGTATTTCTTTCCATACAAGTGTGCACAGCACATGTAGTATTCTGTGATATTTGGTCCTTGACCCCCGGAGCCTTTAGGGGGTCAGGGATAAATAGGGGAATTCCCATGACATCATGCGCCACGTTGTGAACGTCGTGAACAAACCTTCTCTGCCATGCCCCTTTCAGGTTGTGTCACCAACCGTTACTACTATACGCAGAGGAGCCTGGCAATGCAGCCAAATCGCATTGAATATTACGGTATTTCAGAGACTGTTGACTCAATGGTACCACAGATCAGCGGGAAAACCACCAACAGTTGCGATTGTGAAATGATCGTAGGGATTTGCGGGGGAATTCCCTTACATCATGCGCCAATTTTTGGGCACAAACCTTGTCTGTTCCATTCAGTTTGTGTCACCAACCACTATACTGGACGCAGAGGAGCCTTCCCTTTTGGCAATGAAGCTAAATCGCATTGAATATTACGGTGTTTCGTAGACTGTCAATTTGAAACCACCGATTAGGCGATTAAAAATGAGGGTTGGCTTTTGAAGGAAAATTCCAATTACATCGATCATTTTCCATTTTTGGTTCTAAACCAACCGTGTTTTTTCCCCATGTGGGTACCTACGCAAACCTTAACACACTTGTAGGGATCTGGAGCTTGTTGATTTGTCTGCCCAAGAACAAGAGCCAACAGGGTCATTTTTTCCCTCCATTTTTTAACAGTGTTTTCTTCACTGTTATTTCATATTAAACTCATGCATATTCATGAGCCAAACACGCTTCGTTCATAAGTAGATGGTCCAAGACTCATACAAGTATAGCCATCCCGCACTTGCGCTGAACCTCATTGTTCACAACTATTTCATCCTTTTTTTCACGTACGTTAATTCCATGCTTCTTTTTTTCCTAAACTGTACTCAACTGTAACTCTGACGTCATGTTGACATCATCAGTTTTCAAATAAAAATTGTTGCCAATTACCTATGAACATTCTTGGGATAGGAGCAAGTAACTTTAGTTTACTAAGTTTCAGAATCTTGACCAGGCGCGGATCGGGGGGGGGGGGGGTGGTCAATCCCCCAGCTCTGTCAAAAAATATTTCGTCCAAATTCCTAAAAATAGGTTGACCCCCCCCTCCCCCCCCAAAAAAATATATATACTAAATATATACTGGTATAATGTCCGCCTGTTCAAAATACGGTACACCATTCTGTAATCTAGTGTTAATAATCGTGAAATTTGAACAGCGCCCCCTATTGAAATATGGTATCAGCCCCCCCCCTCCCCCCCCCCCCCCCCCCCCCCCCCCCCCCCCCCCCCCCCCCCCCCCCCCCCCCCCCGGTTTTTGATTTTACGGACGCCAAGTGTTCGGAGAAGAAACCTGTGTAGCACTTTAGGTGAAAATTTGTTGTTGCTCTTTTGTTTTTAAAATGTTTACAGGATGAAAGGGCAGGTCAATGGCATTTTAAATTTTTGAAATGGCACCTTCCGTTACGGAGATACGGACGTTTTTGTTCCACTTTTTGTCAATGGCAAAGAAGTCCCATGTCAAAGGTCAATCTTTTTATTTTCTTTGTTTTAAGGGTGGCACCGTTGAATTCACATGAAAATGCACTTATTGGCTTATAACTTGAAATATATTTATAGCATGTACATGAAACTTTCAGAATATAATCTACATATGCCAAGCTGTCTTTTCGGCACATAAAATCAAAAGAATTAATTAGTCCTGCATCTTATTTGCATATTAATTAATTAAAATTAGCAAACTTGTGCACTGTTAACAAGATATACGAGGTACACATTATTAAATATTCCCATAATGTTAAAGGAAAAGTGCCTTACTTGTTCTCATGTTCAAAAAGTCACAACCTTATTAATTAATTGCCTCTAATTAGAAAATGTAATCAATCTGATGCGAAAGCACAGCCAAAGCTAAGTAGGCCTGCATGACTGTGTACGAACACTTAAAACTTCGAATGGGAGATATATGCCCCCTACTGCCTTTTTGTTTGTCATATGTAACACAACCGAGCATGTAATTTGAATATAATTATATCAACGAGTTATTAATTAATGATAATTATAACCTTAAGACTTGGAATGGAGGAATAGAACTTATGAAACTTGAAAGTTGCAGTTTATATACCAAAAACTACCCAAAAAAACCCACTACCCATATTTAAGTAGGAATGACATGTACATGATCATGATGAATTTAATAGCGGAATATAGACTTCTGTTTTTATGATTTTCGGATAATTAATACGCAGAGAAATATTTGGGGCGAACTGACATTGGGGCGATATGGCTGTTACTATAACGGCATTGAATATGGGGCGAAGTGGTTGAGAGTCCATTTTGGGGGCGAAGTAGATGACTGGAACGGTCGCGTCACAAACGGTGAAAAACATCTTCACTTTACATCTTTGTTTTTCATTTACACTAAAATATAAGCTAGTGCCCTTTTCACTATCCCCAGTGAACATTTTCACTGAAATAAAGCTCCGCAATTGGACGCAGACACGGACGAAACGATCCAAGCATTAAAGCAACATTTGTCCCACGGTACCGGGCCACGGCACCACGTGGCCCGGAGCCCAGTGACGGGCCGACCAACGCAGCGCATCCAGGCAGGCATGCAGTGGAAAGCCACGGTGCGCCGTGTACACGCACGCCGTACACACAAACTACGTGCGTACAGGCAACTCTCCAAAAGTGCTTTCATTTTCGTTTCCCTTTCCGTTGACTTTTTTCAAATCGTAGATCGTTGTCATTTATATCAATATAAAGCTTGAATATCAATGTTTTACACACACCTTGTTCCCTGGTAAATAACATGAATTTTCATCTTGAAAAACGATGCTGAAATTTTCAAAACTTCGTATCTCCACTCTTATCTAAAGTTGATAATTTCTGCCGTTTTTTTTACAGTGACTTTTTCATAGCTGAACTGAAACAACGTACATCAGAATAGTGTCCCGCTATAGTTTGAGCCACCACTGAACCTCCTGAGGTCATTACCAAAGTGTCGTCGGCAGTGGAAACCCTGTTATCTGCTTGTGCTTGTGGCGCCGGCGTGCAATCGTAAAAGGACGTGCAGCAGTTTACAAGAGTGAGTATCAAGATCTTAACGGTCACAATCACTATGGAAATTCATTGAGATATTTTCTTATGAAACTCTTTTGTAGAAAAATTAATAAAGGCATTTAAACGAATGCGACATTTTATCGTCATTCACCATCATTTGCAGCTATCCAAAAAGTAACCATTCAGCCCTGGTATGAAAAGGGCCCCCCCGGTACCTTGTCCGGTCCAGAGCCAGTCCGGTCTTCAGCCCAGTCTCGACCGGTACATGGTCCTGGCTGACCAGAAGTTTTGAAGTCAGTCAGGCGCATCAATTTATTGCCCTTCCGAGAACCTCCAGAGCAGAACAATAGCAGACTTACCGGATTAAAGATAAAATCCTTCCAAACGCCTTGGTAATTTACGGTCCCATTGTGCGCGAAACCGATATGGCAGGGGTTGTGATCTGTGCCGACGAAAGTGTTCTATTGTTTCGCGCTGAGAGATGAAAACCACAAGCGGGTTTCTTCTGGGATATATTACATGTGTCAATACTTGCAAACAATAGACCCGAGGATAGAGGAGTTCCTGATTAGCAACCGGATAAGCTCCTGGGCTGGTAGCTGGGACGGTGCGAAATGACTTCTTGGGAGGGGACGAGCTTACCGGGGGGGGGGCCTTTTCATACCGTGGCTGCATGGTCACGGTCCCTAATTATTGTAGAAAAACATATACTTGGTTGAAAGATAGTAATGGGACTAAAAACTACCTGTGAAATTGTTCTATCTGGCAAGCTGTCATTTTGAAGAATTCGTTGGAAATATCCATTTTTAAATGTCTTCGTACATGACAAAAGTACTCTAAGGATCGTGTGATCGAAAAGTTACAATTAACTGGTTGTACTAAATGGAAATTCCATTCAATGATTCTTTATGATGTATCACATTCACGAGTACATTTTCATGCGAACTGTATTCCAACAAAAAAGAAAATGAGATCGAAACAATTTAGTGTTTCATACGTGCAAAATTAATCGGAACGAAAGCAACGTTCTCATGCGGTATTTACATTTTTGACGAAAAAAGAACGACGCAGTTATGAAATGCAATTAATCCTACTCGTCGCACATCGCGTAACACATGGCACTGTTCACCATTGAACGACAATGTCAGATCATGGCAGATACGGCCACAAACAATTGTCAGTTATTTGTTTGTTTTACTAAATCAGAAGTGGAGTAAAGACATTTTTTCCAGAGATGCAATCGATTCTCTTTCCAGGTTCATTAACTAAACAGTTTTGGTTTCTGTCAAAAAGAACCCACGGTTAAGATTTGTTTCAAATGTACAGACTCTAAGGCTTACCGAAATTCAACACAATCAATGAATGTTGTTGGGTCAATATCATGGAAATTACCCTGATATTTCTATTTTCACAACACATCCTTTAAAAACAGATTTTTTGTTTAAACAAAAATATCGTATCTTTCATTTCATACAGGTTGACGAATTACAGGACATAATGGTAAGGGTACAATTCATCCACTTTCCCTTCTGTGATGTCGGCCTACTGTGAAATATGGCTTACTTTTTCATTGTGATGTTTCGCCTGGATCGGGCGTACTTATTGGCGGATATGTTTGAACAACGTAGTAGTAATTTGTGCACCACTATGCCTGGTAATGTCGATAAACTAGTGAACCGATGAAATACATTGGGTACAGTCAAAGTGATGGAGATTGTCTTGGTATTTTTATTCACACAACGACTCCGTAAGGAAGTTAAATTCTAAACAAATATTCCCTCATCTGTTTTATTTCGTACAGGATAGAGAATCAGATGAAGAAGTAAGGGAACAACTCATCTACTTTCCCAACTTTGGTGTATTCAAGTATGGTTTACTGTTTTAATGTGATGTTTCGCCTCTGGCGCCATATTTGGCAGATAATGTTCTCACAACATAGTAGTAATTCAAGAAGCGTCCCACTGCCTGGAAATGTTGGCTCGCTATAAAACTTGTATACTGTGGAATTACATTTTAGGACAGCTGCAAGGATTCTTTTTGACTTAATGATAGTACTAATAATAATGATATTTCTAAATCCGCAAAATACATAAAGAAAGTTCTAATGCGCATAACAGTACAAATTACATTATAATTAAAACCGTATGATTAGAATTAAAATTACTAATACTATACAATTGTTAGGTACTTCCAACATACAATCATGATTTACTGGACAAACATCGAAACCTTATCATAAAATATTCACCGAGTGCATATTACCTCATATAAAGCCTTCTGAAATAAAAAGGTTTTTCACTTCACGTTTAATTTTATGAAACCGAAAAAAGCTAATAGTGAACCAAACCTGATATTCTTCCCAAAATTTGTATTTAGATGATTTTCTTTCGATGTTGCAACATATAGATCTCACTCGACCGTTTCAAGAGGTTTTATTCTCGGTGAAACAACTCACTGTGAGATACAACTCGGTATTTATTACCCTCGAATATCAAAAAGCTGCATTGCAGATATTAAATTCCACTTTCAGTTAGTTTACGTATTTGTTTAATTCACAAATCAGATGCTATGCCTGCTGAATGAAGAGAAAACATAACTGAAATAGGCCTACGGGGAAATGTTCACCTACCAAACCGAAAATTGGATTTTACCGCGTAACACGATTTTCAACTGCTATAGTTATGGCATAAACCCCCTAAAACATTCCATTGTGAAATTAATAACTGTCCTTCCAGCAAGAGCGCATTGGTGGCTCGTTGGGGTAAACTTCCGACTACATTGTCGAAGGTACCGGGATCAATCCGCAATAACGGCGATATATTATTTTTCTTTTAATACATGTTTTAAATCAAATCCTACTTTCGTATTGAATGTTTTTTTGTTTTTAGTTACCATAGCTCTCGAGGTTTTCTTTTAGGAAAATCGAGTACCGAAAAACTATTTGGTTGATAGTCTGGTTCTCAGAGCCAAAGACGTCGAATATTGTCAGGTCGGGGAACCAGACGGTCCACGGCTTTAACGGTAGTAAGGGTGTTTCAAGAAATGTCATTCTGTCATCTATTTTATTTCCATACAGAGTGGGATCCCGCCACCACCAACGGTAAGTGTAGAAAACATGCTGTCATTATGGAAAGTATTTAGGCATACATGTCATCAACTTGATACAATCGTGGGAATTAAAACTGAAAAGAGAGGAAAGGAAAAATTATTATTAGTATTATTTTGAATTTTGTAATATTATTTATTTGTTATAAATAAAAACATTTGAATGTTGAGCCTCATTTCCTTCACCAAGTAAAAGGCCTGTCGATGTTTAGTTAAAATCAATGTCTAGCTTGCCTTTAACCTTAACCCTATAAGGGCCGGGTTATTTTGACCATCTCTCAGCCGGGGAGGGGGGGGGGCGGATTGCGCCCCCCTTAAGATCTCGGCCATAGCGTGACGAAAAATTTTGAAACTGATGGGTACATACATAGAGCAACTCATCATAAAAATACCCTAAAAAATTCATTGCTAAAGGTCAAAGGATTTTGAAATTATGGCTAATTAATTATTCCTATGTATGAATGGTAATTCTGCTCTGTGTACACGACGCATATGGAAAAATTCAGTTTTCACGGCGCGTAGCGTAGCGCCTGAATTTTTTTCGCTGGTTTTAACCCGACGTCCGATTTTTATTTTTTTGGTATCAAAAGATGTGCAAGCCTCGAGGCTAAAAAGACAGCTGGAGTCGCGAAAAAAAGTCATAACAGCTGGAGTCGCGAAAAAAAAAAATCATGGCTATCGCGGTAAAAAGTTGAGGGAGGCGGATTCCGCTTCCCCGGCCCTTTAAGGGTTAAAGCCACCCTCTGACAGACTGAAGAATTGCCTGGGTTAATTTTACCCAAGAAAGGTTGAAAACTGCAACTACCCAAAATTCGGTTGTACTATAACCAATTGATTGGGTCAGAACTTCTGCTAAATTCAACTAAAAGTTGTAGTCATTGGTCTTGTATGACTGCACAACGATCTTCAGTTTTTTTCTTTCCGATATTGTTGTATTTTAGAACACGAATGATTACGAGTACTGTTGCAATTACTTAATGTAATTCTTTCACCTTTTTTCTCCCAAATCTCCATACCGATGACGGATGAACATCTGCAGCCGCCCCCACCGGTAAGTGTTCACATTCTTTGCAAACTTCGGAGTTCTAAGCTTGCTTCGCGGTTTCGCGATTATTGGGGGATATGCTCTCGTTGTCCAAAGTATTTATATGATTTCGGGACTGGCTGCAAAATGGGGAATGCAAAATCCCGTCTTGAACCAAGACTAACCTTGACCCTGTCTTGTAGAATATAATGTAGAACCCATGAAAACAAATAGCGATTTCACTCCCGACCGGATTTACAATTGTAACCAAAACATTCCCACTTTTGCATGGAAAAACAACACCATGTTTACAGTAAAAAGTATTTTTTTACTTAAATAGGCAGACATTTGCAATGTCTGCCTGTCTTTTTAAGCCCCCAAAATATTAATAAGGTTCCCATCCATTGTGGTGTATCGAATTTAAGGTTATGTGAGATTTGAGGCAACCAGATTTGAATTCTTACCAACATTAAAACCAACATCGTTGAGTCAAAATGATCGAAATTGTATCCCATTGAGTATGACTACCGTAATGTGTAGATATGGGCAGCAGAGTACTATAGATAAAGTTTCCATGGGTCCAATAAGTGGTTCGAATGAGCTTATAGAGGGGTAACATTTCTGTTTACACAATGATTCCGTTAAGAAGATTGATGTTTACTAAATATTCCCTCATTTGTTTAATTTCATACAGCACATACAGGCAGGAGAATCAGATGAAGCGGTAAGTGTACAACTCATCTATACTTCCCAGCTGAGGTGTACTCAAGTATGGTTAACTGTTTCAATGTGATGTTACGCCGCGGGCTCAATACTTGGCAGACAAGTTTTCATAGCTCAGTAGTCATTTGGACAGCTTCTCTTTGCCCGAAAATATTGGTTCACTATAAAATTGTAAAATGTCAAAATTTAGGGCTGCAAGTTTTCTTTGAAAAAGAACTCTACTTTATACTAAGTTTCAGTTTATTTTACCGACAAAACTCGTGTAAATCGTGATAAACACTGACAAATCGCCTGGGTAAATTTTTCACAAGGAAGAGTAAAAACTGCAACTACTCAAAATTTGTCCTTTACTCAATTGTTTGGGTTAGAATTTCTGTTAAATTCAAACAAACCGTGTGGTCATACCAGACTAAATTTAATGTGGTCGTTGGATAAAATTAACCCAGGCAAAACTTATTTATATATTTATATATATTTATTAAGTACATTTCTTTACCCATTGGGGCCAGCCATACATCATAAATTACATCATCAACGTACAATTACAATTACAAATACAATACCAAAAATAAAATAAAAGTACATGATATTAATGTATTTTGAAACTTTTATAATTAAACACAATCGAAAAACAGGCTTTACTAAGGTTTGTGAACACAAAGAATGATATACTTTCGTGTGTATACGATCTCCTTTAGAACCGTTTCCTTTCCGTTATTAAACTCTTTAACTTTAAACTTGTGGATTGTTATGTTTCTTCTTCCGTGTAAAAAAAAATATATATTTATCTCGCGAAGTGGTTAAGCCAGATTCAGCCATGATTTTGTCGTTAGATTAAAAAAACTGAAATACGAGCACATGTCCCCATATTGTTGCATTTTAGAACGCGATTGATTAGAAATACCGTTGCAACAACTTAATGTTATTTTCTCAACTTTTTCCCCTACTTTCCATAAATATGGGTGAACATCTGCAGCCGCCCCCACTGGTAAGTGTACAATTCGACTTCTTTGTAAACTACGGAGTTCTCAGTTTGGTTCTCGGTTTTGCCTTAATTGAGGATATGCTCCTTATTATCAAAAGTAATCACAATTTCGGAATGCAGCAGAATCGCTGTTTGAATAAACAGCTTTTTTTGCTGTAAAGTAATCAGTACTTCGGATTCTTTCGCAAGTATCATTTATCAATCAGCCTTAAACCTGCCACCGATACATTTGCATTCTTAACCAAACACGACATTTGTTCACAAAGAAAAGTGAAAATTGGTTGAAGTTCTTTGTTAAAAATTCCATCTGTGGCACAACATTTATTAATATTAACCCATCTCTTTCAAAGGGACGACCTATCTGCCTAGACACCATATATGTAGAACATATAATCTCTTTTAAAATTAAAGTTTGATTCCTCCTGGATTTTCAAGTTTCTTCCAGAAAAAAAATCCTTTTCCATCTTTCTATTTTTGGCGTTACAATAGTTATTCAATTTGGAATTAGCCCTGAAAGAAACTGTAATTTAAAGCTGTAAGTCCATCCATACGTCGTGGGAATGAAATATTTTTTCAAATCCTATGACATTTTCCCGATATTGATGTTGTTCAGACGTCTTCTTCAGCGGCCCAACCATTCCAAACGACCGCAGCCGCCAAACCAGCCCAACTATCTCCACCGACCTCACCGGCCTCAACAGCCACATCGGCCACACAGGCAGCATCGGCCACACCAGCCATACCGGCTACACCAGCTGTTCCACCGGTCGGTATGGGAAGAGTAAGTTATCATCATTTTACTCTGTTAAAAAAAAACTCTTGCTGTTATTTTGTTCTGTATCTCTTTTTATATTTGCTGTGTTTGACCAAACTGTACGAAAACTGAAAATAAATGTATTTGAGAATATAAATATTAAGCTAGATTAAACGCAACTTTGTTTTAGAATTCCAACAACCGTCATTCGAACGTTATTCGGGAACAGTTGTCGAGACGAATACAAATAATTTTACACCTTTTTCCTTTGCACAACAATTCTAATTTGCTACTTTTTGAGTGCATGCAATTCGCATTCTTTGTAACTAGTTCTGAAGTTTGAATCGCGGTTTCTCCAAAATTGGCAGATATGCTCTGATTAGCATAAATACTTACGCAATTGCAGAATGCAGTAGAATTGTTCTTTGTCTGGACGACGTGATTTGTTGTTAAATTTGTTGCAAATTATCAATACTTTTGGGCGGCAAGTACCCACTGACCATGTACTTTGGAGAATTATTGATCGCGTTTATGTATGGCGATATTGCACAGTCGGCCTTAAACTTGAAACCAAAATATAAACATGCTTAACCAAACACTATGTATTAACACAGATATATGGTTCAGTTAAATTTCTTTCTTTCTTAAAGATTTCCTGTAGTACCAATTGTTATCAGCTAACAAAACTTGCTTACACCAATTCACTTTTGACTTACATTACGATTTAACATGCTTAACAACTGGGTGCAATCCTGGGAATTTAAACCTCTAAAGAACCACAAACATAAGACGACAAATGCTTTAATGCTACTAGGCTGGACAAAATTGAATTTAGAAATTCTACGCGGCCCAAACCACATAAAATAGAATCTATTGTCTTTAGACTTATCTATTTTTTTTTTAATTGTGACACCTTATCCAATTCCTTAATTACAGGGGGCATCGGCTTTGCGGAATTTGGTAAGTTGAAAACGTTTCGCCTTTTCTGATGTTACTTTAAATTGCTAAAGGTCGTTTCATAGTTTCGCAAAAATTGGCAAACACGCTCTCATATTCAATCACATTCATAATAATTTCATGTTGCGGCAGAATCCGGGTCAAAATCTCGTGGTTCAGTTGAATTTATTGTTGATGTTCCAACTGTCTATCTCAGCCGACCCGTTGAGGATGTTACATTTTCGGTGAAAAAAAAAATCATTGTGTTAAAGATAGAACTCGCTTTTTTTTTTTACCTTCGAATAGCAAAAAACAGTATACTGAATATCTCCTTGTTTTTTCTTGCTACATTCATTTGGAATTTAATCCCAAACAAGGGGAGAAAGAAGAAAATACTATATATAGAATGTTGGGATGTTAAAGAATGTTGGAATGTTAAAAGAATCATTGTTTTCTTCAAGTAACAAGTATGGTGTTGTTTAATTCAAAATTCCAAGTTGCTTTTCACCTGAGAACTAGCGGTTTTTTTTTCTGGTTAGAAGAAAACAGAACAAACGGCAAAGAATTATTACAAATTTGTGGACTCTAAGATTTAATTGGATTCATCACAACCACAGACTGAGTGAAGTCCCACCAACATTCCAAAACTGGAGGTGTCTTATTTTTAAATGACAGGAAAACGTTTACAGGTTTAGGTACTTGATACAAATCATTATAAAAGGGAAGAAATGTGGAAAATAGTACACTTATGATATGTGGTTGGAAAATGTTAACGATCCATTTTCTTGTTCAAATAAACAGTCACGTGTTGTTCATTTCAATATAGTCTCCGACTTGCTTTTAACTTAAAACCTAACGGTTTTTTTTTGACACCATTGATAATTTGTTTGGTTCACGGAAGCTGTGCTAGTTTACTGCGAATTAAAGCAACCACAGATTGAGTTTAATCCCCGAATATTCAAAGGAATGTGGTTGGGTCGAAATATTCGAGATTGCTTAAATTTGACTTGATGTGATGCAGGACGAAACTCCACTTTAAACTCACAATATTAAGTTTTCCGGAAAGAGGAACCTCTCATACCGAACCGAAAATGAAATAATTTCAAAAACAATTGGTTCGCGTGGCTACGGCGACGCGCGTGCATAGCAGAAACCGGAGACTTTTTTTGGCCTGACCGTCAAATGCCGGTACCATAAATAAATATACTGAAATTACCTAATTCCACTTTCAACTAGTTTACATACTTTGTTTAAGTCACAAATCACACAACATGCAAGCGAAAGGAAAATAAACCACACTTTTAGAAAGGAAATAATTTCACATACCGAACTAAAAATTAGATATTTACAAACAGAGCGGGTTCAGTTGAATTTCTCCAATGGACGCAACCCATTGCCTTTCCCAGTTCTAAAAAAAATTCAGAAAATAAGGTACAGATTTGTTACAAATGCTCTAAGAACTTGTAACCTAAGCATTTCCATGCTGCACCAAAACACAACATATTTACAGAAGAAAGTGTCTTTTCTTGAATTTCTTTCGGTAGCAAGAGATCCTTTGGTGAAGTACATCCTCAGTTTAATTACTGAATCGGCATAAATATCTTCATTTGATATTTGCAAAAAAAACTTCAATGCCGTTGAATTTTGTTCGGAAAAAAAAATCGGTGGTGTTATTCTTTTGCCAACCATTGCTTGCGCAAATGTTTCTGTTTTCGTTACAAATTTATTTCATGACATGATGGTGTTTTTCTTTTCCATCACAGGAAGACTTTACAGGTTGAATCACTAGATACAATCATGGAAATTTAAACAAAAACATCAGAGTTACAAATGAAATATTGTAGATACAATTTACTTCTCCAAGTAAAAAGTCTGTTTTTGTTCATTTAAAAATAATATCCAACTTGATTTTAATTTTAAAAATAGCGTAATTCTTTCCCCACTATTGATAATTTGTTTTGTTCACGGAGGCTCAGCTAGTTTTACTGAGATTCAAGGACACCACAGACTGAGTTTAAATCCCCCATATATACATTCAAACGAATGTCGTTGTGTTAACACTAAAAGAGTCGGGGCGGACCCCGCTCCCCCCCCCCCCCCAACTTTTCTGCGATACCCTTGCCAAAAAAAAAAAAATCCCGCCCAGAGCTTTCCTGACTTTTTAGCTTCGCGTCTTGCGAAAAACAGAAAATTCCGACTATTGGTTACCGTGCAGAATTTTTTTTTAAATTTCCCCATATGTATTGTACACAAAGCAGAGTTGCCATTGGTGCATATGAATAATTAACTAGCCGGTCATTCTAAAACCCTTTACCTATAGTCATGAAATTTCTTCGGTATGTTCATATTAAGTTGTTCTATATGCATGCACTAAGTTTAATAATTATAGTCGTCACTCAATGGTTGAGATTAAAAAGGGGAGGGGAAACAGCGAAGTGGTCATAATAACCCGGCTCCTTTAGGGTTACAATATTCGAAATTGCCCATTTCACTAATATGATGCAAAACTAAACTACACTTTAAACTTATGTTATTTAGTGCACAGGTAAATGGAACTTTTCAAACCGAAGCGAATATAAAATAATTTATGGACTTGCGTTACTCGAACTCAAAATGAATACACATCTAACTGAAACAACCAATCTCCATTTGGGTTCAGGAGTCCTTAATATTTTATTTAAAATTTAACACATTGTATATTATTTATATTTTATATTTAATTTAGTATTTGCATTTTTATGTAAATTAATAAATACATTGCAAGAAATTGTTCATTGAAATCTTTAGATTGTTTCCATGGCAATATTACATTTTTCAAAGTAAAGTATAGTTGCCATAAAACATTAACCAGTAATACTACTTCCAACTCAGATTCAAAACGTTTGGGATGTAAGTAGATACATACATATAATTTCCTTTTACTTTACCAACAATTAAAAAACTTCCTTTGAAGTACCAAAAAAATCACAATATTAATATTACATATTTAAATATAAACTTGTTAACAATTCAGAACACAATATAAAACTGTTTGATGGAATCATATGACATTTCGAGGAATAAGCTGAGATAATTGCGGTAATAGACAGATAGAACCAGTGTTTGTGTGGGGAAAACACGCAAAACAAGTGCAAGAAAGCGGAGCTTCTGAAACCAAAAGAGCAAAGAAATGGGGGAAAAACAAAGGTGGGGTTTGGGGTGGTGGTGGGTTAAGTTTCATGGGCAAAACATTTGCCTTTTCTCCGGTCAGAGGTGGAATCGAGAATGACGCGACGCCAAACTATTGCATGCTATTTACATGTACACGGAAGAACTTTCCACCAATTACCGCCAGTTATTCACGCGTTCAGCGTGTAACGTAATCGTAAACAACCACATAAGGGATCTTCTCAAAAAATCTCTTTCTGTTTTCGTTAATTAATTAACTCATTAATTAATTCATTAAAAAATAATAATTCATTACATACCGGTTATTTACGTGTCACTTAAATGAAGACTTTACAGATTGAACCACTAGACAGAACAAACGGTAAAGAACGTAACAAATCACATACTCTTAGATTAACCGAGATTCAATGCAACCACAAACTGAGTGAAAGCCCCCAAATCAGTCCTACGAACGCCAAAGTGATCGAGATTGTCTTGATATTTCTGTTTTTAATTCGTCAAGATAAGTAAAACGTCTGCTGTTGTTCTTTCATAATTATAGTACAATGTAGTAGTAAATTCAGGAAGCTTCTCTCTGCCTGGAAAAATAGTTTCACTATGGATCTTGTATACGGTTCAATTGTATTTAAAGATTGCCAGATTTCTTTTTACTAGATGTCTTTCAAGTTTATACTCCACTTTAAACTAGTGTTAATTTAGTTCACCGAAAAAACCTCACATCGAGCCAATCATGAAATGCTTCCACAAAATTGGTCTTGTTGAATTTCTTTTGAAGTTACAACTATCGCTAGATTTGAATAGACCCTTTCGTTTCAGTCCAGTTACAATGTATGACATTTGTTTCATAGTTCTTGACTTTAGGCCCACAATTTTATAATAGAATAATTCTCAATTAATGTTATTCCTATATCTCTTTTATTTCCTCACTGCTCCCGAATGTAAACTCGCAGAGCTCAGTAAATGTATACGATTCGCCTTCCCTGATTTATTTTTTTGGAGTTCCTAACTTTGCCTCGCTGTTTCGCCATATCTGGTGGACTTTCTGTCACTATTATAATATTAACACTAACAGCATTTACATGATTCTATAATGCAGCAGTATTTCTCTATCTAGTAATGACGCGGTCTGGTAAATAATTGCAAATATTTTGAAGAGCTTCTCAGTGATTTATAGGATGTCCTCTTGACCCTTTCGTCAATTTTTAAATGCATAAAAACAAATGCCTATATTCACTGTCAATCGGCTTTGAACTTGCAGACGATACATTTAGATGCTGCACTAAAAGACAACATATTTACAGAAAAAAAGCGTGTTTAGTTGAATTTCTTTCGGTAACAAAAACGTCCTTCGGTATGGTACATCTTCAGTTTAATTACTGAATCGTCATAAATATCTTCATTTGTTCACAACGACTTTGTGCAAAATAGCGGTTTTTTCTCACTCGAATGTATTTATTTTTCTATCAACGGTAAAATGTTATTCAGAGTGCACCAAATATCTTTAAAGTTTTACTGAGATTCAAATGAACCACAGACGGAATATACAGTCCAGGCAACGTTCTAACGAATGTCTTCGGGTCAAAATCATCGAGAGTGTTTTGATACTTTCTGTTTACACATTAACCTGTTAATAAATTTTTCTGTCAAAGAGAATAGCCCCGTTTACATTTCTTACATTTCTGACATCCAATAAGATTAGCAAACATATCGGCTGAAGGAGTTAAGAAGGCACACTTCAGCATTATCCGCACGGCTCTTTTCAGACATTTATTAAGAATATTGTCGTGTGATGTATACCTTCCTCCCTATACAGTACTACAATAATCGAATGATGGCACAACTAAGCTGACAAAACAAAAGAGATTGCAGACTGCTTTTGGGAACATAATCGCGGGTTCTATTTAGCATACCAAGTTTAGAGGAAACTGTTTTCTTCACGTATTCAACGTGTGGGCCCCAACTTGAAGTGTCATCACCTAAACACAGGCTTTACAGATTCAACCCCCAAAATGGAACTGTCACAAGGTCCACCATAGTCGGGACAATTGTGAGGGTGATACAGTGTAAAAGGAACTCCGGAAAATGAACTTCACCAACAAAAGTAATGCGAGACACTTGACCAATTGTATGGAAATAAAGAAATTTAATACAGCCAATTAACTTCATCAAAATAAATTATAATATTTACAATTGACATTTAATTACAATATAAATCCCCACCACCAACATAAGAATACCGGCACGGACACGAACAGAGACATCGGGTTACGGGTGTCGACGGCCTCCAGTGGGTGACGTCCAGTCCACGGGATCCTGGTCGTCGGCGCGGCGCTCCCGGTAGCTCATCGATGGAACATTCAGGTGAAAAAGCGTGTCCCCGTTCCAACCAAAAAAGCCCTGAAATTCAATTAGTAATATTACCTCTAAATAATTTCATTCCACTTCACACAGGTTTTCTTTCCCAAACATTTTAAACAGAAACCCATCATAATCTCATGCTTCGCTTAGTTATTCTAATACAAAATAAATACCAGTAACTTGTGTCCTTAGCATGGCCCTTTACAGTTCAAAAAGTGCCGTCTCAAGTTCCAAATAATGATACAGGCATGACATGAATACTTACAGAATAAATCTGGCTTTTGAGGTAAGTGACTTAGTAGCCCCCCGAACTAGGCAAACCCATTGCCAAACGGGTGTCTTCAAAATTCATCGGCATCAAGCCGGCAATACACAAATTTGAGCGCCTATCCGTCGGCCTTCCCCAAACTGGAGAGCAATACAAGGGCCTCAATACCCCCGTGTCCTCGAGCCGGTGAGTAAGCTCCTAAGTGACGCATCACTCCAAACATTTCATTTTATACCACTCCAAAAATATTTGTTGGGATTAACCACCCCGATCCTAACGGACCAACAGCATTGCAGCTCTTAAATTCTTAAACCATTCTTCAAATGACATTCTACAAATGTGGGGTTCACCTGAGCAATTTGCATGTTTAAACCAAATAAGGAACAGAGTTCTTTGTATTACACCCAAGCAAGTAAACCTTTCCCTGTGTGGTAGTTGACAAAAGATATCTCAACACGCGAATGCAAATGGTTTAAAGTTGCAACTAGTGTCAAATCAACCATTAAATTTGTAGTTTAAAGTGAGTTTCATTACATGTATTAAACGACCCTGATTTTAACACTTCTTCACCAAATTTCATATAATCATAAACAATAATCTTATACAACAATAACAAGGACACTTATCCAATTATAAGGACCAAACTTATACAATCACAATCATAATCAAATAGATCCCACAAAATAATTAATTTCTCAAATATATTGACGTTTGTGACAGGAACAAACGGTCAAGAATTGTAACAAATGTAGGGCCTACAGACTCTAAGATTACTGAAATTCAATGCAACCAAAAACTGAGTGAAAGCCTCAAAACAGTCCAACAAACGCCAAAATGATCGATATTGTCTGGATATTTCTGTTTTTGTTCGGTTATGGAGTTTTCTGAATACATGTTTCATTCTAATTAAGGCAATTAAAACGTCTGCTGTTGTTCTTTCACTTTTACTCTGTTTAAGGAATTGTTCTGTCTAAAAGAATAGCCTGT